CACAGTTTTTCTAGATATTCATTGTCAGTAAAGTATGTGTAAGATTATTCGTGAAATAAGTATGCAGTGGACAATTGTTGTTAAATTTTTTTAACGAGCGTTTGCGATAATCTATATTGAGTAGCCATGCTTTGTATCAGAGAAACTTGGCGGTGCAAATTTTTTTTTTTTACAGGGCAAATGCCGGTTTCGTAACCAGTGAGGAGATTGATGATATCACATACATTGTGTGCTTACGAATATTCCGCAAAGCAGATCACTTAACACACGAATGCTTGCTCTTACTCGGAATTATCTTAAAATACGGGTTTGTTTTCACTGTTTTAAAGTAATATTTCACGAAAAAGTTTGTTTTTGTTGGAACAACAATGATTTGCATAATTAACTGAAAAAATTGTCAGCTACGACCTGCTGCTCATCAAAGTATTGAAAATCTAGGCTGGAACACACCAAGTTCGGGCGTGATCCTGAATTTTTGCACTAAACTTGAAAGAATCAGATCGTTAACTGTATGAATGGTTCTTGCTTTACACTTACGTTGTGCGCCCACTAATGTAAATCATCTTACATTTTGCATAAAGTTGAACAGTTTCCATTGAACGGTCATTATTTATGCGTTTTTGCATATGTGCAAATGCAAAAACGCATACGGGCAAGAGGCTGTGCGTGTGTTTCTGTTTGTTCGCACCGTTTGTTACTCGCATTCAACTCGAGCCATCATTCAGTCGATTTCCAAGCGCTTCCATTCCTCATGAAAAGTGAAGTACTGGTGGTAGAGAGGAGAAAACGCTTGCTCTTACTTAGACTTATCTTAAAATATGAGTTTTTTCTATCAGAGAGCTGCTTCGAAACATTTATTTGTGATGTAAAAAATATGCAAAAGATGTCATGTTTATAGGCGCATCCCGGACACAAAGTTGTTGGTTTTAGTAACAATGCTCTCATCCGTAATGGGTGAAAAGAAATGGATAACAACTGCATGGAATCTAATGAAAGATCTACTTCGGTCGCATTTTGGCCATAATGTCCTCAAATTATTGCTTGAGTTGCTGAGGAATGGCGCCAGTTGTCCGAAGAAGCAAGTGCTTGTTGGCGCTGTTTATTGTATTCATACTGCACTATGGAGCCGACAGGTAAAAGATGCAGCACTCTTCCTTGGTTGAATTGTATGTCAGCAAAAGTGAGCAGTATTGAAGACCAAATCAAAACTCCCTTCGTACGCCTGCGACGGAATTACTTGAAACTGAGCCTCGTTTTTATCCTTTTTGTACGAAAGGCAAAAAGCGCTCGAATAGTCATATTTGGAATAAGGGGCTTTTTTTTCTGTCTCTTTTGAAGGTTACTGAATGATATGCTGGATGCGTCTTGTCAGTTTAAAAAGCTTGCTTCGACATTTCAGTCGGCTTTTCTTTTATTGCTTAGGCCCTTATATTGCTCTCGATGCTTTAGCTAAAAATTTCTCTATTTCTTTTAATGTTAGACTTGTCAGTCTTCACCAATCCTTGTAGGTGCTAAAGTTCGGCATGCTCCTCTTCACGTTGAGGAACACCCAGTGTCATCCTACTTCGTCCGTCCGATTTTTTTTTTTTTTTTTT